AAAAATACAATTCCAATGATGTGCAGTTGGTACTCAGTGTTATTAATATCTTGTTATTGTGACGAATCGTTGATCTGAGTTGTTCATTTATTCAGTCCTGATGATGTTAGCGGTGTTGGTAACGCAGCGTGCCGATTGTTAATAAAACTTTCCCATCTCGGTTTTGCGTTGCAGTTTCCTAACGATTCGCTGAAGAAAACAATTCGCTGATATTATATATTATTAAGTAATACGCGGAAAATAATCCAGATTGTAATTTTTTTCTTCGTGTTGCATTCGCTTATTTCCGGCAAATTTGTGATGGTTATTTTGTGTCCGGCTTATTCATTGATCATTTGTGGGTCACATCAGGTGGCAGGGCCGTTAGTCGACGAGCCGTTGCACGACGATGACTCAGTGAGAAACTGTAGAAACACTTTGCAGTGCTCATTCATAGGCTTAGTCACATGTTAGACCTTGACGTGGAATAGACCAGTGGGCAATGATTGGATGTCAGTTTTCCCGTCCCGCATCATCGGTAGAAAACCTCCAGAAAGCCTGAAGTCCTGCGGGCACAACGAGATTGGTGTCGAAATACTGAAACGCAAAACTGCAATCATTTGCATCATCTGAAAACATAAGATTTTCAGAGTATTTGACGGAAGTCAATGATCCTCCAGTGGTGTAAAAAAGGCAGTCATTCTGATTTTCAACACAAGATTCTACTTTTTTCTCTCTCTCTCGCACTTAGTGTGCCGCCTCTTATTCCTCCCTTAACCTACTTATGCCGATTACGATGGAGAAAGCGTTCGTACTGATGATCACTGAAACCCCCAATGAAGCAATCGATTATTCGTCCTTTTAAACTCCACTAGGGTGTCATAGCGGTTAGCCATTATTAGGCTGCATCCACGACGTCATTATCATACGTTCTTCTTCCATCTCGCCATAGAATCGTCGTCTTCTATTCAACGAGTAGAAGGTGCAGATGTTGGCCCAAATGCTTCCTTCCTGATTTTTAGTCGGATTGCCCTTCTCGATAGAACCTTAAATTAAGCTAAAAGGCATTAAAAGCTCTGGTAACATCGGTAACCATTGCCATCTTTAGTGAACCGAAATTTGTTGCCGTTGACCGTTGCGCGGTATGGTACAGATGGCTGCTGAGATTGAATTTTGGCGAGCGTTTACAGAGATTACAAGAAATCATGACCAGAGTGCTCTAAGTTCGAAGAAATGATATTGCGTAATGCCTAGCAATGACAAATGGCTGACAGTCGAGTAACATGTCCAACCACCGGTGACAGTAAACAACGTTGACGGTCGCGCTGGTGACC